TTTTTTTTTTGGCATAATAACACTCGCATGATTATTTTTAAAGATAACTTTTAACTGATTGTTTTTAAAGCACAAGGACTATGAAAATGAATGTTTAATGAAGATGAAAGTGATTATAATAAATATCTTTCACGGTGCATTTTGCGAGTCTAAAAATTAGCATATATTAAAATACATTATTCAGATAAAAATGAATTCCTTGAAAGAAGAAAAAAATTTCTGCGAACAACTTTTGAGAAGAAGTCAGAGAAAACAACGAGTAAATACGAATGTGTCAGAGTATCGAAATTCAATAAATACTCGATAAACTTAAAACTCACTGCATGACCAAACACAAAGTACTATTTTCCATAGAGTTTCATAATGTCGAATCGTAAGCTAACGACTGATCATGAATCACGAAAATGCATCGGAGAACATGACAGACATAAAAAATGAGGAATGCTAATCTGATATCGGAGAATAAATCGTTGTTATTGAAGATGATTGAATTTTACAACGCACGAATTTTAATCGGTATCTTTATCTTGGCAGTTGGAGATTAATGCGATAATTTCTGACGTTCCGCTTGATGTTACTTGAACGTTAAGGCAGTTTGTTTGATGAATTTCAAATGGCACCTTTAACACTAGAACTATCGATAATCATAAAATAAAAAAATAAAAAAAAAATGGAAAAATTTTATAATACATTGGAGTCACAAGTTTTCATTTATAGATTTTACGAAAAATCATTTAATTCTCTAAAAAATACACTGTTTTACATCTGTATAAAATCTGTAAAAGAAATTATAAATTGATCACTTTGGTAATTCTAGCGTCAAAGTACTATACTTTAATTTTATCAGAAAAATAAACGAACATGTGCGTCTGAAGAATTATATTTTAATTTTAACAGAAAAAGTAGCAACTATACCTAATACTGTTCACACAAGGTAGCTTTGCTTTTGGTTAATTCGCATGACGTGGATAATGTTTGAAGCGATACAATAGCGCAGGTTAGAATTTTATGAGTAAATATGCTCAATGCTAAATTCATTACGGTCTGATGTACTATTTTACGAAGAGGATCGGTAACAGGCGAAAAGGAGTTAATTGTTAGGCCGTAAAGGACATTTTTAGTCGCCTGGCCTACATGCATGGCCTTCTAATCTCTCCAGTGAATGGATGGACCCAGATGTTTTTCGACCTTCGCAAAGCGAATATCTCATTTACTGAAGTCCTCGAAGTATCTGGAATATGCTTGCAGCGTGTTCGAATTTGTGGTTCGAGGGAAATTTTCAAACAAAAGAAACGACATTGTTGATACTCGATTGTTAAACTTGTTTAATTAAACAGCGAGTAGAAATATTAAAAGAGAAGATTTACGAATGTTTTCACGAAAAAAATTCATTCAAAGTTTTATTAACAAATATGAATATTTTATTGTAAATCACTCTGGAAGAAGCATTACTGGATCGATACTGTATAAATTAAGTAACGTATTATCGAAATTATTAACACCAGAAAAAAGAATCTGAATAATAGTTACTAACCTTCGTAAAAAGATGCAATTTCATTTGGAATCAATAATGATATTAAAATTACCACTAAGACGAAAGAATTGATGAATTCCTATTATTATTACACACAAGCTTTGATATCTTCATTAGTTGATCAACAATGGTCAGTTCCAACATCCTTACATGAAACAAGGTCGATGTCATAGAATCGATGGAGCCTGCAAGGACCAGCCAAGAATATAGTAAAGCTTAATAGAATGCATAATGTCACTGTAACGAACTATTGAACAACTAGCCAGGGGACTATCTCGTACAGATTAGTGACTAAGATATTCAACCTACTAGATCCAAGAGACCAGTTGGCTATCCAGACATGATTGTCGATAATAATAGTATTATTCGTTTGACAACACCCACGATAATTTACGGATCATTTATTAAATGAATTAATCTTGCATTTTCATACTTCAATACAATATTTATTTTAGTCTCTTAAATACGATTTTAAACATAGATTGCGAAAATTTATGCAGATTCATATATTTTTACGAATACAATTAAAAGAATAAAACTTGGACACAGATCTTTTTCGCTCATTAAATATCGTAATGAACGCTATTCTTTGAATATTTTTGCATATTACACTCATTTGTCTTCCGCATAAAAGCCACAGTTAATTTTGAAACTACTTTCATGAATTAAGCAAGAATAAAAAATTGATCAATCAGAAAACTATTCGGCCATTTTGTGATTCGAACGCCTTCAAGGTTTTTAATTCTAATCGGTTCTCTTCATTTTCGTGGCTTAAAAATCGTTAGGGACATAATGTTGCATAACACGGATTTTTTATTGGCTTAGCGGCTATCTCCAAAGTTGTCGAAATATCGTTGCCTACGTTCAGTTACAAAATTTTCTCATAGATCCTGTACCTTATCTACTAAGAATCTCTGTGTCATCGATCATACATCAACCAATTTATGAAATTTCTCTCGAGAATGTTATTTAGTAACAGTGTTGAAAGAACACTTTGAGAATCATTCAGTTAGTACGAAAGTCTATGATCGAAAATGATGCTGAAGTCCGGTTTCTACGCGTATTCGTATTGCTTAATTGGGCAACATCGTCGCGATTAAGAGAGAGAATGCATCTGCATCATGGTAGGTGATCCGTATGTGCAGGTGTAGAGGTCAGCCGCGACTTTTCAGGTCGTCCAGACTTTTACTTCGCTGCGAGCAAACCGCAATCTTCTGCAAGTGATTTTAACGTCAACGTATAGAACGTTCCATTAGTAACAATTCACTTCCTCATAAAACGCACGTGGGACCATATATATTTTCGAAGAATCCGTGGGAAAAGGGGAAGGGGGGGGGGGAATGTCAATTTTAACAAACTTTGAATTCAACATTTTTTCTTACCATTAGCTATATCACGTTGCAAATGAAATTCTTTTTTTAATTTTACATATTGAAAGTAATTTTTCGTTTCCCGAGAAATGCTAAAATTTGATAATCCTCCTTTCTCTCGTGGACCCCCCCCCCATTTATTTTTGTCTATATTATTCTTTTTGAAACAAAATAATATCATATTTGGCCTTAAGCAATTTGTCCTACAGAACTATCTACTCTGTATTGAAAAAAATTGGTCGTTCAAAACGAGAAATGTATATATATTTATATATATCAGCAAAAAAAAAACTTGGGAATTTACGATCTTTTGAAGTGAAATTTTAATGAGGTGTCTTTTTCGAGGTGAGCCTCTCTGAAACTTTTAATATACCTTAAATGCCAAAGTATGAAATTATTAGCTTTTATTCAGATAGGACCCATGGAAGATGACGGACAAAATCTAAATAAAGATTAGATTAGAACAAATTTACGATTATACATCTCAGAAAAAAAATAAAAAAATAAAACGAGGATGGTAAATAAAAGCTGTAAAAAAAAAGAGGAGAAGAATATTACGTAATCTTTTCAGTTTATGTAATTGTATGTATCTTATGAAATCGACTGTAATTAATTACGACACGTCAAGTTTCTTGATCTATTCAGGATTCATCACGTGTGTTCACTTTCTTACACTAGATTCTTCTAATAAGAATTGCAGGATTGTAAATTTTCAATGTAAACGTTCGCTTTGAAAATTACATCGGAAATTGATAAATCCTTGAATATATTTGTTGCTACTGAAGCATATATCGTATCGATCCAGTTATAATAAATTAAATATAATTATAATTCAGTATAGGTTCAGTATAGGTTTGGACAACTATCAGTTAATCATTAATTTATTTTCATTATCCATTTTCTAAATGTCTGTACCATCTTTGACAATCCAACTAAATCCCATTTTATTATTGCTTAACACTCTTTTCACGCTTGAATTCTAATCTTTTTGCCGTGAGACCGACCGATTATTAAATCGGTAATTCCATATTAAGAGATTTTACAGATTGCGTTGCGCGTATAAAAAAGAAATTCTTTCGAGAATTCTCCTGTTTATCATCGGTCATATAGACACGCTATAAATCATGTTCTATTCGGGCACAGTTAAGTCACGCCAAAGAAAAAGAGTAGGTTTATAAATTAGGCACCATGTAACAGAAACCTATCACAGCCTTCAGTTTAAAAAAAAAAAAAGCCACAACTTTCGCCTAAAAAGAAAACCGCAATAAATTCGTCGTAATCTTAAAGTCAAGCAATTAATTCATCTTCATAGAACCAGTGATGGAAATATCACTGTTGCCTTTGTGACGATTTTATCTGACATAAGAAAAAGATCGAAGGTCGAACGAACCGTGATTACGACCTTTCCTACGGTCGACGTAGCCCCTTTATTCAGCTGAAAACTAAATACTAACAATAAGAGAGAAAGGATAGCTCTATATGAAAAAAGAAACTTCATTCATACGAAAATTATTACAATTTCTAGAGTTTAATTTCTCGTTACTGTTTCCTCGTACAAAGAGTAACTATTTACTATTGTTTAACTATGTTGCTCATCTGTGTATAATTTCTTTAATGTACAATAATTGTCATACTAATCTCTTTTCGAGGGATAATTCGAAAGGACGGTTTAGGTTAGGTTAGAGCAGAGTAATAACGATAATAAGAGCAAGAGGGTTCAAAGTCGGTTTGTACTACTTAAACTACGCGTGGCTCCGTGTTCTAATTCTTCATTGTTATAATCGTGGGAATTCGACGGCCATTTGTGCAACAAGTTTGACGCAACTACGAAGAAGTATGGTTAATAACAGTGAAAACGTTTAGAGTGATTACCGTTGTTGTTAATAATTTATCGTAAAGTTCAGTTGACCGTTGCAAAGTTGAAGAGAGAAATGAAGTCACGAAATTGAAGCCTGGAACGAATCTTCCACGGAAACACGAGAA